AGAGCCCTGGAGGCAGAGCTAGAAGCTGCCATGGCTGCAGGATGAGCTGTCGTTCACGGCTGTCCGGGCCACCGAGTGGCTGGCGGCTGCCACCTGCAGCAGCCCCAGCACCTTGCAGGGGGACACAGACACCCCGTTACCCCCCAAAACCACCCACTCAGCCAATCTGAGCTTTAAAGGGGGTAACCAGGGTCCCCCTACCCCCTCCTCGGAGGTGCAGGGGGACACAGACACCCCGTTACCCCCAAAACCACCCACACAGCCAATCTGAGCTTTAAAGGGGGGAATCAGGGTCCCCCTACCCCCTCCTCGGAGGCGACGGGGACGCAGCACAGGTTCGGGACATGCACCTCCTCACTGGCCGAGCTGACCTGCCGGATCTCCAGCTTGGCCCTGCACTTCGGCCGGCCAGCCAGCAGATCCCACAGAGATTTGTTGCAGATCTCCAGGAAGCTGGCGGCGAAACAATACTGCCCGCCAGCATCACGCCAAGCCCCAAAAAACCCAGAAATGCCCCCAAAAAACCCAGAAATGCCCCCAAAAAACCCAGAAATGCCCCCAAAAAACCCAGAAATGCCCCCAAAAAACCCAGAAATGCCCCCAAAAAACCCAGAAATGCCCCCAAAAAACCCAGAAATGCCCCCAAAAAACCCAGAAATGCCCCCAAAAAACCCAGAAATGCCCCCAAAAAACCCAGAAATGCCCCCAAAAAACCCAGAAATGCCCCCAAAAAACCCAGAAATGCCCCCAAAAAACCCAGAAATGCCCCCAAAAAACCCAGAAATGCCCCCAACTGGTGTCCCACATGAGACTTGGGGGGTTTAAAAGGAGGTTTGGGGGGGTCCCCAACTCTGTCCTCACCCCCCGGGGCGAGTGGGAGCAGCTAAAACCCCCCTTTTGTCCTAAAAAATGTCATTGAGCCCATCGGAGGAGGACTAAGGATAGCTGAGGGGTTCATTAGCAGCAGAGACACCCTCAGTCCCTCAAAATAAGGGTAAGCGACAGGAAGACACCCCCAAAGCGACTCACCTCCCCTGCCTTGGAGAGCACCAGCACCTTGTTGTCCTTGGGGGGGGAAGTAAAGATGCTCCAGGCCCTTCTGCTGTTCCTCCTCCTCGGGCAGCACCAGCCACACATGACAGAAGACATAGATGTTACCCTGAGGAAGGAGAGAAGCTGTTATTTTAGTGATACAAGGAGGGAATTCAGATGGTTCATCCCCCACCCAAACCCCCCCTGGGCTTCACCTTGAGCTCCTAGACAAGCTTATGGAGATGTCACCGCTCCATCTCCAGGCCATGAAGCTGTTCCTCCTGCTGCCCCAGCCACTGCTCCTGGGCAGCTGACTGCGCCCACAGCTTGGCTGCCTGTGCTGCCTGCCACTGCACCATCTCCTCCACCAGCTTCAGCTGCGCCTGCTAGAAGGGAAACAGCAGCAGTTGCAGTGGGGGAGGTAAAAAACATCCCCAGTGGGGGGCGGAAACCAGCCCCAGATGTAGCATGGGGCAAAAACTGAACCTGGTGAGGGGGAAACTGAACCGGGTGAGGGGGAAAAAGTGAGCCGCCGTCATGGCAGGGGGTGAAAAGCAACCCCGACAGGGTGGAAAATCAGCTTTGATGGGGGAGAAAACCAGCCCTGGTTGAAGGGGCAGAGGCAAAAAACAGCCCTGGCAGGGTGGAAAACCCCAAACCCCCAGGGGGGCCTCATGGGGGACCCCAAAAGTCAAGGGGGAATAGCAGCAGTGGGGGGGTGAAATTAATGGGCAAAAGAACATAGGGTGTGTCCACAAAACTGGGAGGTCCCCAAAACCCCAGGGACCCCAAAAACCAAGGGGAAGAAGTTGGCGAAGAGGAGCAAAAATGGGATGGGAGGAATAAAATCAAGGTGGGGAAAAGATGGGGGGAATCCTTGAAACTAGGAGCACACCAAAACCCCAAGGGGGTCCCCAAAACCCCAGTGGGGGTCGCTGCCCCCTGAGGGAAACCAGAAAGCCAAAGCGAAGCAGTGGGATGGAGGAATGGAAATGGGGCAGCGTGGAATATGACATCAAAGGGGGAGGAAGTGGTCAGGGTCCCCCAAAACTGGGGGGTGGAGGGGGAGCAGCAAAACCCCAGGGGTGTCCCCCAAAAACCTGGAGGGCATCACTGACCCATGGCAGGACCCCCAAAATTCAAGGGGAAGCAGTAGGAGGCAGGAGCGGGAATGGGGCAGTAGGGGTTAAAATCAAGGAGGGGGGGAGATGGAGGGGTCCCCAAAACCCTGGGGAGGTCACTAAGCCAGGGGGGATGCCAAAATCCAAGCAGAAGCAGTGGGAAGGACAAGTGGAAATGGGGTGGGGAGAATTAAATCCATGGGGAATCCCCCAAAATTTGGGGGGGCTCAACATACCCCCGGGGGTCCCCAAAATGTCCCCATCAGGACCCAAACAGTCTAGGAGAGGGGTTAAAAGAATTGGGGGTGGACTTGAAACAGGCAACAGAGATTTAGGGGCCACTGGTGGGAAGGGGGGTATCCCTGGAAGTGAGGGGACCCCAAAATGGCCCTGGGGTGCCTCAGAATGGCGAGGGGAGAAGCTCCTAAGGAGGCCCTGAAATCGCTCCTGGGGGGCTGTAAAACCACCCCGGGGGTCCAAGCTTAGAGGCGAGCCCCAAACCTGGCAGGGGGCAGGGCTTAGACCCAGAAGATGGGCTCTAGACCTGAAAGGGGTGTGGCTACAGCTAGCCCCACTCCCAAAGCCAACTTGTGGCAAGGATCCCTGGGTTTAGGGTTGAGTGGGTAGAAATCTTAGGCTGGGGAGGGACTGAGGGGTATGGGGGAGGAGTTGGGGGAACACAGGGATCCAGGGGGGATGA